AGGGACACTTCCTAAATCATTCAATGGGAATAGTTTTTCCTGATATCAAAGCCAAAGAGAAATTCAGGCCAATTTAGCTCATGGATAGATGCAAAATTCCTCAACAAAGTACCAGCAAATTAAATCAAGCAATGTAATAACACAAATGTATAAACCACTACCAAGGGAGATTTATTTTAGCTGGGAAACCAGAAAAAAGTTCAATTAACCTAGCCCACCTCATCGACAAGCTCAAGAAGAAAAATCACATGACCATACAGACAGCCACAGAGAAAGTCATGTCAAAATCCTACATACAACTAGGAAGAAACTCTCAGCAAAGTAGCTGTAGAGGGGAAGCTCCTCAACATGATTAATAGTATCTATGTTTTAAAAAACAATAACCCTACAGCTAACATAATCCTCCGTACTGATAAACTAGATTCTCCACTGGGCTAGAACACATGGAAAGGACATGCCTCTTATCACTGCTATTTAACACTGTATTGGAAACTTCTAAGTAATACAATAAGAAAATGAAATAAAACTGTACCTATTGAAAGAAAGAAAACTGCCTTTGCTCTAAGATGGCATGATTGTGTAGATAAAGAAGTCCAAAAGAGGGACTGGAAAGATGGCTTGGTGCTTAAGAACACTCACTGCTCTCGCAAAGGACTCAAATTCGGTTCCTAGCACCCATGTCAGGCAACTCACAACCACCTGTAACTACAGCTCCAGGGGATCCAACTCCCTTTTCTGGCCTCCATGGGTACCCATACACATGTGGCATATGGTCTTACACACTCACGTACACATAAATAAAAATCTTTTTTTAGTCCCAAAGAATAAACAAAATAACTATTGGAAATAAAAAGCAATTCTAGCAAGGTTTTACAAAGATTAAGATTAATAGATAAAAGTGTGTTGTTTTCCTGTATACCAACAGTGAACAATTAGAATTTGAAATTTGAAATGCTACAATTTATATTAGTCCCCCAAATTGACATAAAAATGTAAGCATATAGGGGTTGAAGAGATGGCTCAGTGGTTAAGAGCACTGAATGCTCTTGTGGAGGACTCAGGTTCAGTTCCCAGCATCCACATGGCAGCTATAAACCGTCCTTAACTCCAGTTCCAGGAGAATCTGAAGTCCTCTTCTGACCTCCACAGAATTGCACAACACGGGTGCACTCACATACATGCAGGCAACACATTCACATAAAATAAAAATAATAAAATATTTTTTTAAGTTTAAGCATAATCCATAATAATGTCTGTACAAGATCTACATGAGGAAAACTGCCAAACTGAAGAAATCAAACAAGATCTATGTATAAATGGAGAGATATACCATATTCAATAGTAGAAAGACTTCCTTGTTAACAAGCCAATTCTAATTTGAGCTGTGATGCCCTTCCTGTCAAAATCTCAAAGAGTTACTTTGTGCTCATATCTCAAAATGATCCTTTACATAGAAAAGTAAGACATTAGAATGGCCACCGCAATGACAAAGAATGAGGAAGAGGTGGAGGTGGAAGATCTACCCGACTTCAGACTCTGTCCTAATAAACCTATTGTGATTAAGTCAGTGTTGTATTAGCAGGTTAGTCAAACAGATGCTGCACTTGTAGCCCAGTGGTAGAACACTTGCTTAACATGCACAATGCTCTGTATTTGATTCTCATCCTCAGTAAGGAAGGGACAGAATGGAAGGGAGGAAGGGGAGGGGAAGGGAGTAGGTGAGAGGAGAGACCTCAGAAAGACCCACAGAAATGGTCATCTGATCTTCGACAAAGAAGCAATGGTAATTTAATAAAGATGGTATAGTCTTTTCAATAAATGATGCTGGAACAACTAGGTACTCACATGCAAAAAAAAAATCTAGCCAGGCATGATGGTATACACCTGTATGTAGTTCCAGCCATTCAAGAGGCTGAGGCAGGAGGACCATTTTAGCCCAGGAGTTCAAGGCCACTGGGATGATAAAGTGAAACCCTAGCAAAACCAAAACAGAATGACAATTAAAAAAATACATTGGTATGAAAATAACTAAGCATATCCACTACTTGCACATATTTTTGATCCAATTACTATACTTTATATAAACAAAGTATTAATATAAAATAGTGGTATGTAAAATATGTATTATTATAGCTGATACATTGATAATGTTTAGTATATTGTATGGGTAACATCAATATTTTATTATGTATAAAGGTAATACAGCTGTGTATATTGAAATTTATACATAGCAAGTGGGAATATATATAATAAAATGAATACAATTAATAAAATATGGTCAGTATTTGAATCATTTTTACTCAATAGTAATGACTTTTTTTAAAAAGGGTAAAGTGTATGGGTTCTTCCTTTGAAATAATGGATCAATAGAGGAAAGTAAAAGACATCTTTTTTTCTGTAAAATGATCAAAATTTCCCTGCCAATATGAAAAGGTTTTAATTTTTAATCACAAAATGTTCTGTTAGCTCCCATTACCTTTATTACATTCCTAAAATGAATCCTATTAAGGGTCCTTCTTTTGAAAAGCATAATATGATCCATAGTATTTTTGTCCTTTACCAAAATCTCTTATTCTTACATGAAAAACATGGCTTGGCTCCAGGTCTTGGTTCTCCTGGTTTTGTTGTTGTTGTTGTTTGTCTGTCCTTCCCAAATCAAACACTGTGTTCTGAGAAATAGATACCTATAGTTTTCCAGGAATGGCTGCCAGATCCCAAAATAATTGCGTCCTTCCTCTTACTAAAGATTTCAATATTAAACCAGTTTCTTCAGAACTTCAATATTTATAGTTTATTATAAATAAAATATATTCCTTATAAAAATACATTGGACCTAATAACTTAAAAGAATTAACATGAAATGAACAATAGACTGAAAATGTAAAAGCAAAAGTATAAAAGTTCTAGACTATCACATAATACATAATTTAGGTGACTGGGTTTGGTAATAACTTAGATACAACACTAAAACAATTAAAAAGTTATTAAGCTGAACTTCATTAAAATTAAACTTGGGCTATGTGAAACACATGGCTAAAATATTAAGAAGCCAGCCCTGACTGGGAGGAAGTGCTTTTCAGAGTAGATAGCTGATAAATGACTTGTCTACAAAATAGACAAATAATTCCCAATCCCAACAAAAAAAAACAGCAATCCAACTTTTAAAATGAGCAAAAGGCCTTGAACAGACACCTCACCAGAGAAGGCATCTAGAGGATAAATGAGCACATGCAAAGATGGTCAGCATCATGTTACTAGAGTGAAAATAACAATTTGATATCTTAGCAGAGCTATTACAAAGGCTAAAATCCCAAACCTAGGCAGCATCAGCTTCTGGAGAAGACCAGCAGATATGTTTGTTTGTTGAGGGTGGGAAGGCTGGTGAGAAAGCAAGACGTGCAGTCACTGTCAAAGATGGTTGCAGTTTTGTAAAAGCTAAGCACACTCATGAATCGTGCAGCAGGCATACTCCTAGGTATTTATCCAATTGAGATTAAAAACGTTAAGTATACACAAACCCATACACATTCATGCTTATATCATTTTATTCATAATTTTCCCCACACAGGAGGCAGTTTAATAGGTGAATGGATAAACTTTATTACAAACAAGTTGTGGAAAAGTATTGAACACTAAAAATAAAATAAAAATAAGTGAGTTATCAAACTCTGGAAAGACATGGAAAAATCTACCTGTATGTGACTAAGTAAAGAAGCCAGGCCGAGTTAAGGTTAATTCTAACAATAGGACATTTTGGAAAAGGTGAAACAATAGAGACAGGCAAAAGATTGGTCAGTGGCTGCTGGATTGAGGGGTGTGAGGAATGACAGGGTAAAGAACAGGTGATTGGAATAGTGAAAAGTTTGTACAATACTGTAATAGTAGGTGAGTGACATTATACGTTTATCAAAATCCACGGAACTATGCAGAAGACTGAACCCTAAGGTAAACTGTGGGCTTCATTTGTAACATATCAACATTGGTTCCTTAATTGTAATAATTATACAATGCTAACAGGTGAAACTATGTCCTGGGAGAAGAATATATAGTGTGATGGTTAATAGTGCCAACATTTAATTTTTTTAATTTATTATCAGTGTCAGGGATGGAGGGACACACATGCCACAGCATGCATGTGGAAGTCAGAGGACAGCTTTGTGGGATTGGTTCTTTACTTCCACTTTTACATGGTTCTAGAGATCAAACCTAGGTCGTCTGGGTTTTGTGTCAAGTGCCTTTACCCTTTGAGCCGTCTCACAGGCCCAGTATTGCCAATTTGACAGAATCAAGGAGGTGAGCCTCTGGGAATGCTGTGAGGGAATATCTTGATAAGGCAATTGAAATGAGAAGACCCACCCTAAAAGCGGACCGCACCTTCCCTAGGCTTGGCTCCTGGACTGCATATAGGGGACAGCTAGCTGAGCAGAAGCATTTGTCTCCCTCAGCTTCCAGACTGTGGAAGCATTGTGCCCAGCCACTTCAGGCTCCTGCCACCATGACTTCCCCTTGGATAGACTATCCCCTTGAACCGTGAGCCAAAATAAACTCTTAAGTTGAATTTGCCAAGGTATCATTTCAAGCAACAAGAAAACTACGACATTTAGTAGCTATATTATCCTGCTTGATTTATACTTAATATTCATATTTTTATTTAAAACTGTTCTTAAAGTATTAGCTTAATTTTTAAATATTTTATTGGTTCTTTGAGAATTTCATATAGTTTATTTTGATCATATTGAACCCCTTCTCTCAAATTCATCCCTACTTCCCACCACCCCCATTTCACATTCTCTCTCTTTTTTTTTAAAGTTCATTTTGAGGTACGATTTGGGGTCCTCAAATACCCTTGGGTGTGAGTCCGTCTCCTGGAGTGTGGTGAACTTACCATTGTTACATCCTAAAGAAAACGGACTCTCCCTCTCCCAGCCATTATCAGTTGTCAATGGCTCTTCAGCTGGGGCTGGGACATCACGCCCACCTCCCCACTCCATGCTTGGATTATGTCGGGCTTGGGCTTGCATGCGTCTTGTGCATGTAAGCACTGTGGTTTCATATGTACAATCGCCCCGTTGTGTCCAGAAAGCACTGTTTCCTTACATTCATCTACCACCTCTGGCTCTTACAATCTTTCTGCTCCCTTTTCTGAGGTCCTTGCTTATTAGTTTAATTTTTCAAAAGTTGCAGAATAAAGTGAAGCAACAAACAGTTCAACTGAGAGGTGAAGTCAAGCCAAGAGTAAATGACCTCAATTCTGGAGATTGTCAAAGTGTTGACTGAATTTGTGTTTTGTTTTAATGTGAAAGAGCAGAAATGAAAGTGGAGATCAGTAACTGGAGTAATGTTTTGCAGAATGAGCTTGCTTTGATTAACTCCAAGCAAGCAGGAAGCAAAGATGTTTTTTCTTATCTTACTATTGCCCTTTTGACTCATGCAGCACCTAGCTCTCTCCCAAAGATATTTTTACTCACATTTATCTCTTAACCGTGACTCATTTTCAGACCTTAAAATCTAGTTCAGTATAAATATGTTCATCTAACATACAGCCAAATCGTCTCTTCTCGCAGCCCTACCTAGACCTGCTAATTTCTTTGCAAGCTGAGAAAAAGGGGCACTGTGAGCTTTCACCTTGTTCCTTTGCTTCTCTTTCTTCAAACTCCTCTAACAGATTCTGGCTCTCCCATAGGCGAGGCTAGGAGAGTTAAGAAGTTAGAAGAATTCAGGTGTTAAGGAGTTATGAGTTAAGGTGAGAATTTGGCCTCAATCTCGGGCCTCCTGAAATGCGAAGGCCTTACAAGTCAAGTTGCTTCAAGGATTTTTTAAAAATCTTACTGAAGTTGGATAGCCGCTCAGGGTATGCTGATACTTTTTGCTGCTCTGTATCAGCAGAGGAGGTCTTTAGGGGCCTGGGAGATGCTAGTTTCCCCTTCAGCATACACTCCTAGGAGTTCCCCATGAATGGTTTTCTGCAGATCCCCCTTAGTTGGTCAAAATGGGAAAATTCATCTGCCCTCCAGCCACCAAGAGGGAAAGGAGATTGGAGAACCAAGGAGAACTCCAGTAGCTCTATCCAGAATTCCTCTCTCTGAATCCAGCTCCATCTCTAGTCATGTCTTACATATAACCAATAGGTAGGTGAGAAACCAGGGATGAAGGACTTGATGACCAGTGTCATTGCAAATTTTGACCTAATGAATCTGTTCCCTCCTCATTGGGATGAAGCACTGTCACTATTCATTACATTCAGTCGAGACAACGGAAAGATTCATTTGACATTTTGTCACATAGGAAAGTAAAGGCACATCCAATGTAGTGAGGGCCCAAGAATGCAGGCTTGGTGGATTTCTGGACCTAAGAGACAAGAATTCTAATTGGAGAAATAAACTTGTGGCATTGTCCACTTAATACCAGAATGTTATTATGTCCAAAAGACTTTAATTTTTTTCATTTGACATTAAAAAGAAATGTCACTCTTTACTCAAATAGGGAAAGCTAATACCAGAAAGTCAGACTTCATCAAAATTATTTTATCCATTTATATTGCCACAGTTTTAGTGACAACTGCCCCCAAATCTCTCTTTACACCCTGTCCTTTTTTCCATGAATTCTGTTTTCCAAGAGTAGTTCTCTACCTTTTCGGAGTCTAGTTTAGACATTTTACTTCTCAGTTGTTTGCACAGAATTTATTCCCACCCACTTGACAGACAGCTTGGTATATTTTCAGCAGGTGAATGAGGCATGGAAAATGATGACTGCAAGGCCGTTAGCAGCTTTGTTTGGCTGTCTTGAGAAATGTAGTCTAATTTTGCTCTTCCTCCCCTTTATTTTGTTTAGCCACAACTGATGCAGCTGCGGAGTCCCGTGTAAAGCTGTCTGAAGATGAAACCACTCAAATGAAAAGTGATAGAAGTGTTTCTCAGTCACGAAGACCGATCAGTATTCAAAGCGTCTTTCTTGATCACAATGTACCAGAAAGAGTGTTTAGTGTTTTATCCCGTGGGCATACTGCTCACCATGTTGACTCGACCATTCCACACAGTGCTGCTAGCTCCATGTTTATTCCAAGTTGTCAGTCTGCTTCTTCTCGAGTTTTTAGGAAAAAACTCAGCCAAATAAGAAAATCAAAAAAGTCCAAGGAAAAGGGACCTAAAGGAGAAAATGTTTTCACTGGCAAAAGATTCGGCAACATTTTCAGTCTTTCCTCACAGTTTATCCAACCAGCACCTTCTTCTTACTCTAGGATTATTGCTTCTAAATATCCAACAGCAAGTCCTGAGAGTCATCCTTTACCAAAGACTCCAGACTATACTCAAGAGGGCCCTTATCTTCCGAGAGATGTAAGTGGGACACTGATAAGCCCCATACCTAGTAGCACATCTACAGTACGGGAAGCACGGTGGTCTGAACGTCCTATATACAACTTCGCAAGTCTTAGTAAAGTGGTACTGAACATTGCTAAACTTCCAGAAATCCGTTCCCTACCAACACCAGTTTTACCCAGAAAACCTCAAAGACAGACCGCACTAGGTAAATACAGTCAGAACATGGTCTATAATAGTGGGGTCAATTAGAAAAAAAGGGAGAGAAAAAACTACAACAGAATGCCCCCCCCTCACCCAGTGGGGTTTAGGGTAGAGCGATAGAACCACCTTTTAAGTTTACATTTAGTGCCTGAGCCTGGGAATAATAACAAGAAGCCTGACCTTATAGATGTGTCTGTGCCAAACTGGGTACTGTATGCAGATGGTACTGGTGGGAGTTGATAAGGAAATCCAAAGGCTCAGAGAAAGAACTACAAAAGAATCTGTGAGACAGTGTCCCCTTCGTGCGTTACCAAGGGCATCAGTCTTCTAAAGGGAGAAGTGGATATGAACAATGATTTAGAAGGTGGTCCAGGTGAGTGGAAGTAGGGAGACAATGCTGATGGATGCTGTCAGTTATAACGCACTCAACCACCCTCAGATGAATTTTCAAATGTGTCCAAAAGTTGTCCCTTTTTTGTTTTTTATCTAGAAAGCATAGCAGAAAATGGAAAGATAGAAATGGCCCCAAGATCTGACAGTAAGTACTGGGTTTATACCATTCTTTTAGAAATGATAAGATTATTAGCTCTCAGTGCGCATATATGTGATTTTGTGTTTATGTGTATGGGTGATGCACACATCTGTCCCATCTCATTCTTAGGTACTTAAGCCATTTACTCAAAAATTACTTCTTACTCATTGACTATGAGCAAGATGTTGTATTGATGTTGAGAATCTGAAGTGATCTCAAACTGGATGGGGCAGATAGAAGAGTCAATGTATCGCCACATGCCAGGAACCATCCTAAGTGTCTAGACCTTAGTCATCTAGATGAAATAAAGGAAAAATTATCTTTAAGGAAAGACTACATCATTTTGCTGGCAGTAGTGGTAGCACACATCTGTAATCCCAGCACTTAGGAGACAGGAGGATTGAAAATTCAAGGCCAGCCTGGGCTACACAGTGCATTCTAGGCTAAGTTCCAGGTTAAAAGACACGGTCTCAAAAAAAATAATTACCCCATTCTAGACCTCCCATTCATCTCTACCTACCATCTCATGAGCAAAATATGTGGCAAATAATTATAAGCCTAGAAAAACAGAGTGAATGAAAACTAGCACAAATAGTATTAGAATTGTCAGACACAGATGTTCAAGCAACTCAGGAAGTTCTGATTTTAACTATGATCAAGTAACTTCTATTGGACTTATGTTCTTGCCAAAATCAACTGTTAAATCTGTCAAAATGTGCATAAAATAGCTGCTAAAAGCATTGGAAGTAACCGATGCACTCGAGTGGCCACAATCTCTGAACCAAGGGAATCACATGCCAGTTGATCTTGACCTTGGTTTTTTTGGACCGGTGGGCATATGTGAGAGCACGGTCCAAGGAGAAGTGGTAGTTTTGGTGGTTTTGGGAGAGGGCAGGCAGGCTTCAGAGGCTTGGGGACAGTTGGGAACTCCAGGAGGGAAATATAGGAGAGGAAAGAATGAAGACATCAGGGAAGAAGCCAAGGAATCAGGCACAGATTTTGATAGCTGCATAAGACAGCAGGAAGTGGAGTTTAAGCTCTGCCAAAGGGCTGGGGGCCTTTATGAATACACCTGCGTTCAGCTGAAGACCCAGGCGGCCATACCTTAGGAAGAAGACGATGATCTAGGCAAAAGAAGGAGCGATTAGAAAATCCCCAACAGGTCTCTGAAAAACACTAGTCCTAACAAAGCTCAAGCCCAACTCTGGATACATCAAAGAGATGATTTCTAATTAAAGCCTAGCACTCCTCCAAATTATTCAGTTTCCTTAAAATTGTTCTTCCACAAGGCCTAGCATTAAGTTAAAATAGCTCAAAACATGAGCACCCATAAGGCTGAAGTAGGAAGATTGAAGAGTTTACAGCCAGCCTAGGCTACACAGTGAGGTTTAGGCCAGTCTAGACTATATAATAAGGCATTATTTCCAAACAAAAGGAAACAAATCAAAAATCTTTTTTTTAGAAGGGGGGGGCAGTAAAATATGTGAAAACTAGTAGAAAGAAACCGTAGAGAAATATTCCTGCAATTAACACAGATGTTGGAGTTCCAAACAGAATTTAAAAATACTATATCCAAGAAACTAAAAGGTTGAAGAATTTCATCAGAGAACTGAAATGTTTGTTTGTTTGTTTGTTTATTTTGAGACAGGGTCTCCCAGTAGCCCCAAATGGCCTGGAATTCACTACAGAGAATAGGCTGGGCTCGATCTCGTAGAGATCTGCCTGCCTCTGCCTCCCCAGTGCTGGGATTAAAGACTTGCATCACCAGGTAGACCTGACCTGAAAGTTTTGTTTTAATAAATGAGAGTCATGGCTGTCAAGATGGCTCAGTGGTAAAGTGCTTGCCGCCAACCCTGACAACCTGACTTTGATCTTGGAGACTCAAATGGTGGAAGGAAAGAAATGGCTCCTGCAAGTTTCCCTGTGACCTCCATAGGCTCCTGCAGTGGCACACACACATATGCATGTGCACACGCATGAATAAATAAGTAAATAAATAAATAAATAAATAAATAAATATTAAACAAATTTAATTTACAGCCGAAATTCTAGAGCAGAAAGAAATAGCATTACCATTTTAACGGCTGTGTATCACAAGACTTTGTGAGCTCACCATTCCTCCCCGTTGTTTTGTATCACTGTGACATAAATTCCCTTTTGGGTTCCCTCCACATTGTAAGCCTTAATACAGCCCAGTGACCCTTATGACGAAGGATGCAGTTCTCTAGAAAGAGAAAGGAGGCATATTAGAAATTCTCTGACAAGTCTTACCAAGATTGATCCTTGAGAGATCTATCAAGGACTTTCTAATCACTTCCTCTTTCCATTCAAACACCCCTGTGTAGCTTTTAGACCCTGAGGGTTGGTGAGCAGATCGCAGGCCACAGACCTGTATCTAAACTCACTGTCCCTCTGATGGACCTCCAGGGACCAGGTGTCTCTATATTACATTTTGCACCTTTCTCAGTTTTGTGATTAACTTTCACCTTGATTGGTTCACAGTGGGCACAGACCATTTTAGAAATGAAAAACTGCACACCTTTGCTGTGGTTGTTCTGGGAGTTTTCCTTTCCTCTTACTGAAGAAATTATTGAGATTGTGAAATGTGTCTCTGCAAGTAACAGCACAAGAAGAGTTGCAGATGTAAACTATATTTCATAAAATTTCAAGATTATTTCTAGCCCAATTTGATGTATTCTTGCATAGACCATATTTGATAGAAAGTAAAACCCACACAAACATAACAAAGTAACTTTAATGTCACTGTTGGCTAACTGCCGATTGGTTTGCTGTTTTCTTTCTCTGTATGGAATCTACCAACAGAGGCAAGCGTTAACTTGCACAGGCATTTGAGCTACACAGCAAGGTGATCTTAGGAAGAAAGTAAAGATGCCCCTTGGGAGATGGTACCCGAGCTACAAGTTTATGATGTACTTTGATAATTTTGTCCACTAAAAAGTTGCTTATTTACTTCAGAGTGGAAATTTTTTAAATTATCTTTACACATAGTACCAAAACACAGAGACAGGATCTACATTGAATGGTGGAAATCTATGAGCAAGCCCATAGTTTTATGTTTGGAAGATGACTGTACTATATAATAGTTTTAAAAAGAACAAAAAAAGGTAAGATAATTCTCTGTTAGGTATGCGTGCATGTGTGTAGCAATCCCTTTAGTAACTTTCTTCTAAGCCATAATACACTTGTTTCACATTCAGTTTTGCTTTATTTAGCTTTAATTAGAATGAGAAGACTAGACCCAGATGCACATGTTTTGCGTGGTGAAGGTTTTAAGACTGTTGCAGCCACACACTATGAAACAATAACGGCAATGACCTCCCTGGCCATAATAATCTGCCAAATCTATGGGAGGAACGCACTCAGTCTCAAGGTATGCTAGATCCCTCCTCTGATGTTATCAATAACTTTTACCTTCAGTTTCTCAATATAGGTCAGCCTTCATGTGATTGAAGGAGTCGCTCTTATTGTAACAGAAACTCTTCAGGACACATTCATATTGCATCTCTAAAGTTTAGAGATGATCTGTCCTTGTTTCCCTTTGGTTTACCAACTAAGTTTAAAAGGAGACTCAGATCCAAAGAAATTATTGTGTTTTTTTTTTTTTTTAAGCCTGATCAGAAGTGAGATTCAGATCCTTCATGTTTTTAAGTTACCTTTAGAGCTTGTGTCAAGTGTAGTTTGAGGCTGGCTTTGCACTGAATACAAGCCCAGCAGATGAATCACAAGAATGTTGGTTGCCATTCATTAAGCACACACAATGTTCCAAGTCAATGCCACTCCTGTAAATTACAACTCTGCAAAACAGGTATTATAGTCTTTATTTATAGATGGAAACAGAGGCTAAAGAAAGTAATTTATATGACCACACAGGAAATAGTGACAGAGCTTGTGTTTGGACCCAGAATTGTTTGTTTGAGCTATGTTCTCACATATCCCAGGCTCACTTTGAACTCACTATGTAGCTGAGTATGACTCCTGATCCTCCTGCTTCTGCCTCCAGAGTGCTAGCATTATAGGCATGTTCCACCATGCCTGACTTACATGGTACTGAGAATGGCATATTTCATGTGAGATAAGCAAGTACTCTACCAAGTGACCTATCCCCAGTTTCCCAGACCTCTTTGGTCTTAAAAATCTATATATTTTATCTTTCAAAAGAAAGAAAAGGCCGGACGTGGTGGTGCATGCCTTTAACCCCAGCATTTGGGAGGCAAAGGCAGGCAGATCTCATTGTGTTCGAGGCCAGCCTGGTCTACATAGTGAGTTCCAGGACAGCTGGGGCTACAGGGAGACCCTGTCTCAAAAAGACAAAAAAAAAAAAAAAAAAAAAAAAAGAAGAAAAAGAAAAGGAAGAAGAGAAAAGGGGAGGATGGAGAGGAAGAAGGAGATAGGGTTTTTACAGTGTCACACATTAGCCAGAGTGAAGTATGCAGATTTAATAGGAATTAAAGAATTTATTATCTCTGACAGTCACATCCTTACTCAAGAGTAGCTCTAATGGACTGTATAATGCATTTTGTAGCCCTGGAGGAGCACCTGCATCAGCAAAGCATCCTGAGCTCAGAACGTCACTAGCTTGTCAACTTCTTTTTACATGTAGACAAAGAGCATCTTAGAAGAAGCACAGAGTTGGCTAATTTGGCAGCTGCCAGTGTATAACATTCACATGCATTAATACCTTACCAAGAACTTGGCCTTCTGTCCCTCTTAGGTAGCTTTGGGTTTTTCCCCCAGTGGGAGTGAGTTTGGGGATTTCAGCTCTCTGGGTTTCAACAGGACTTTAATATTTTAAGATTGCAATGTGATTTCTGGGGTGGGGGGCGATTTAACATTTGGGATTATGGCTTTTAGAATTATGATCAACATTGACAACAAAGCTACTAGTGCTAATAAGTTCAATAAAGTTAGAGTGAATAAAATCAATATGCCAAAAAATCAGTTGTGTTTATGTACATCAGCAAAAGAAAATAAGAAATTTACAATCACATCCAATAGAAAAAAAATGGGAAAAACACATGGTTGTTCATTGAATAAAATTATCCTTAGAAATACAAAAATATGCTTGACTTGACTTAAAATAAGGACAGTGCAGACTGGGGAGATGTTTAGTGGATAAAGTGCCTGCCATGCAAGCATGAGGATCTGAGTTTGTGCCCCCAGAACCTCCATACAGCTGGGTATGGTAGCATATGTATGTAATCCTAGTGCTCCTACCAGGTGGAAAGAAGAGACAGAAGACTCCTTGGAAGCTTGCGGGCCACCACCCTTGTGTATGTGAAGAGCCTCTCTCTCAAGATGGAAGACAAGGACTGACACTCAGAGTTGTCCTTCGACCTCTACATGTGTGCCCATACTCACATGAATATACACACACACACATACACACACACACACACACACACACACAGAATGATGCATTTTAAAATTACATAGAGTTATAATTTTTCTCTTAACAGATTGGAAAAATTTTGACACTATAATCCTATTGGTAAGGTTGTAGTATTACTGTTAGAAAATCAAACATTGTACCCCATAGAGAGACTTGATTGTTAGTAATCAATATCTTATTTCTTGTTACTCTTTTAGGGATTCTTTCTTCTGCAATGTCCAGACTTAACATCTGTGGCTTTGCAACTGATATATCTTAATTTATCATTTAATCATCTCACCCAATTTCCCACTGAAGTGAGTCCACTTTATTGTTCTATCTATAGTGCTACAATTTATTATTGTAATAAAAGTAGACATGTTATCCTGAGGATGTTATAAAGGAAGTACATGTTGGACTGCATCCCAAAAGGCTTCACTTATGTTGAAGAAAAAGTAGTAGAAATCTTTTGGGATTTCAATATTTACGACTATGGCTTTTAGAGTTCTGATCAACACTGACAACCAAGCCACTAGAGCTAATAGGTACGTTCAGTAAAGTTAGAGTGGACAAGATCAATAACAACAACAACAACAACAAAAATCAGCTGTGTTTCTGTATAGCAGCAGGGGAAATTAAGAAATTTACAATCACATCCAGTGGAAAAAATGGGCAAAACACACGATAGTTCACTGAAGCAAATGTAGAAAGTCCCATGACATAAACGTCAAAGACCACATTGTGTCAAACTCTCAAACATGTTCTCATAGTTGTACAATGTGTAACAATGATTTTTTTCTTCTGACTTTTAATAACTTTTAAAATTAACTTATATATGTGCTAATCAGAAACTTTAAAAACCAAGTGAGTGAAGGAAGTGAGGGGGCAACATTGTCTTCTGGGCATGACAAGAGCACTACATTCATGAACTTTCAACAACTGTGGTTGCCTGCACAAGACCTGTACAAGATCAAGCCAATCAACATTCCAGCAGGGAAAGGGGGAGGGGCTCATGAGCCCCCACCCCTAACTGAGGAGCTATTGACAGTTGATGGTTGTCGGGGGGAGTCAGTTTTCCTTAAGAGTGTGGCCTTTGATAAGTCAACCACACACCAATGGCTGACCCCACAACTTTGAGTTGTAGGCAACACAAATTTGACTTGGTGGGTTATAAAAAAACAAAGCCAAACAGGAGGATGTGAAGTTGGGATGGGGTAGGGTAGGGAGTGCAGGAGGAATCTGGAGGGAGTTGGGGGAAGAATATGGATGAATGGGATTAAAATGCATTGTATGTATGTATAAAATGCTCAAAGAATTAATACAATATTTTTTTAAATTAGTGACCAGGCAATGTTGTAACAAGTTTAAATAGTCATAGGCTAGAATAGGATAGCCAGGCATAGGCTTCCATAGAAGTCTTATTATTTGAAAAGATTGAAGTCAAGTGTGGTGACATGTGCCTTTAATACCAGCATGGGAGAGGCTGATGCAGGAGGATCATTACTTTAAGGCCTGACTGGACTACATGGTGAGACTTTGTGTCAGAAAAATAAAAAAGTACAGCACTGAAAAATCACAAGAGACTATTTTGACTATAAATGTAATGAAATGGGAAACCAAGAACTGAAAGAAATTTGACATTTCACTAATATGTAGAAACTAAGCAACCAAGGATTCAAAGAAGAAATCAAAAGGGAAATTAGGGAATTTTTAGGATGAACGAAGATGAAAACACAACATCAACATGTATATGCTACATCTAAAACAGTGCTTAGAAAAAATGCATAACTGCAAATGCCTTTCAAAAGGAGACATGTCAGGGTTGAAGAGATGGCTCAGTGGTTAAGAACACTGGCTGATCTTGCAGAGGACCCAGGTTCAATTCCCAGCACCCACAGGTGCACTTACTTACATACGTGCAGGCAATACACTAATACGCACAATTTTTTTTAATTTTTAAAAAAGGAGAAGTGTCTTAAATCAATAAAATACCCTTTCAACTTGAGACACTAGAAAAAAAACAACTAAACCTAAAAGAGGAAAAGGAAGGAAATAATACAAATTAGTACAGAAATTAGCAAAATAGAAAACAGAAAAACAATAGCAATAAAACCAACAAGGCCAAAAGTTATCAGTTTGAAAAGATCAACAGAATTCACACAGCTTACATAGAGTGGCCAAGAAAAAAATACAGAATATTCAAGCTACTGAAATAAAAATGAAAAGGTCACTACTCACAGAAATAAAAGGGAAGATTGTAGATTTTAAGGAGAATGTTGTAAATAACTATTTTAACCAATTCTTATGTATTTCTACAAACATATAAGAGTAGACTAAAATGAAAAACAGAATTTATAACAAGTAAAGCGATCAAACAATAATTTTAAAGCTTCCCACAGAATGTTTAGGTCTAGATGGTTTCATGAATGAATTCTATGAAACACTGATGAATTAAACCAATCTTTCACAAACTCCCTCTCCCCCCCAAAAAAAACAAGAAGAGAGAATATTTCTTATTTTAAACCAATAATTTCCTAAAAGCAAAAGTAAGCTGTGGTAAAAATTGAATAAATAAATAACTATAGAATATTATCCTAAGGGGATAGATATGAAAATCCTCAGCCAGATGCTATCAAACTGAATTCAGCCACATATAAGGGAGACTAACTGAGATTTATCTCAGGAATTCATGGTTGGCTCAACATAGAAAATTAAATGTAATATTAACATACAAAAAGGAAAAAACCACACACAATTACTTTAATAGACATAGTAAAATACATCTGTAAAAAGTACAGCACTCTTTCATGACAAAAAAGAAATTCCCGCTCAGCATTTATGTATAGCAGGGGATTTCTTTACCCTGAAAAAGGTCCTATGAAATCCCCCTCCTTAGATGAGAAACAAGGTGAAAATAGGTATTTTGCCACTTCTGTTCAGCCTTGCACTGGAGTATTAATCAAGGAGATTAGTAAAGAAAAAGCCTCTATTGAATGACTATAATTTATTTATTCCACAAAGTGTACAGATATTCTATCTCAAAAAAAATCTACATAGTTTTATTTAAATGTTGAAACTATATTAAGCGTTTAAAATTTTTTTATCTTTATTTTTATTTTATGTGTATGAGTGTTATGCCCTTGGAGGACAGAAGAGGGTGTCGGATCCCTTGGAACTGTAGTTACAGACAGTTGTTAGCCTCCATGTGGGTGCTGGGATTTGAACCCAGGTCTTCTGAAGAACAGGCAGTGCTCTTAACTGCTGAGCCATCCCCTCATCCCCTAAAGCATTTTTTTTAAATAAAAGGAAGAACAAACAGTTGTAGATGGCATGGTCTTGCACATAGATATACTAAGAAGCCCAGCAGCATGCTATGAGAGCACATGAATGATTTCTGAAAGGTTCTAGTGTATAAACTTAATACAGAAAAAAATCAATGGCATTTCTACTGTCAAAAAAAATCTTGATAAGAAAATTGAGAGAACAATTCCATTTAAAACAGAATGAAGAAAAATAAAACATAAGTAGATTTAACGAAAGTACAAAACTTGTGAACATTCAATACTGAAAGAAATTAAAGGAGACATATACAGATAAAAAAGCACCCCAATTTCATGGATCTGAAATATCGATATTGTTCAGTTGGTAACACTCCCACATTAATTTATAGATTAATTCTATTTTAAATTTTCATGAAATTACTATGACATCACAGTGGAATAACCTGATACCTGACATGTCTCTGATGAAGGAAGGTGAATTCCACGTAACCTCCTGTTCTGCAGATGTCTCTTCCCTCATCTTTACATGATGGCCTTACATAAAAATGTGAGTTGAGGGGCTGGAGAGATGGCTCAGTAGTTAAGAGTACTGGCTGCTTTTCCAGAGGACCCAGGTTCAGTTCCTACCACCTACATGGCACCTAACCATCCTTGACTCCCATTCCAGGGGATCTGATGCTTTCTTCTGATCTTCACGGGCATTGCATGACACAGGTGCACTTAGATACATGTAGGCAATATATTCATACACAAAATATTTTTTTAAATATGAGTTGATCAAAATTTATGACTTTTCCTATTTAGAAATGGCCATTATAACTGTATAGATGTTCGGTTTTGTTTTGTTTTTAATTTATGTGTGTGTTCACATGGGCGCATGTGCATGTGTGGGTACTTGAGGAGGCCAGAAGACCCTGGCATCAGATTCCCTGGAGTTTATTGGTGGCTATGAACCACCTGACATAGGTGCAGGGATCTGAACTCTGGTCCTCTGGAAGAGCAGTCCATGCTCTTAACCCCCGAGTCATCTCTCTAACCTAAAAAGGATCATTCTTGAGTCAATGGCATAGAATACAGTAGTTTCACTGTCTCAACATATCATGCATATTAATCCCAGTCCTTTGTTTTGAGGGTTTTCTTTTTTGCTAAAATCCTTGTATTGTAATGAACTCACAAATAAAAGCATCTCAGAGCTGGATTAAGAAACACTCAAAAAGCTGGGTGTGGTGGTGCACACCTGTAATCCTAGCACTCAGGGGGCAGAGGCAGGCAGATCTCTGTGAGTTCAAGGCCAGCCTGGTCTACATAGTGAGTTCCAGGCCAGCTGGGAGACCCTGTCTAAAAAAAGCAAAGAAAAAAAAAGCCACTCAGATACCTGCACAGTCCCAAACTCCAGACATCTCAGTGAACTTCTCTGTAGTCAGAATGGCCATTCTGAAGCCATGGAGCTTTGCTGAGGGTTTTGCACTTCCCTTATCAGTTACTTTTATGAACTCATTTGCCACAAAGGAAAAAAAAAACTGTGAGAGAGGTCAAACTAGAAAAAAATAGCTTTATATCCTCTTTCATGATGTATCATTTTCTTAACCTACATTCTGTCCTGTCCTTATCACCTAATATTATACTTTCTTGGTATCCTTTCCCAAAGAGGGTTTTCTAGAAGCATTTACTGTGATACATGATTTGAGCCAACATGTGTTCTATACTGATTTTACTGTGTTAGTTTAAATCATATAGAAGTAACACATGAGAAATATGTACTTTTCATTCAATTCATGTTTGTTTCTGTTTTCTATTCTCTAGATATTTTGTCTTAAAAATCTACAAATACTGAAACTGAGAAATAATCCCATCAAAGAAATTCCTTCTGAAATTGAACAACTTAAGTGCCTTAGAAATTTCTGCATTGCCTTTAATTTGATTAGAGACCTTCCTGTTGGGTAAGGTTGACCCCCTGGGATTATAAACACAGAAAGCAAATTATATTTTAGTAAAGCATCAGTTTCCCCTTTGAAAGTAGCCAGAATCATGTTGATTATTTAAGAATTCTCATTCTGTTACAATAAGCTGATTTGCTTCTTAATATGCCATTAAAAATAGTTTTACCAGCTACATAGAGGGCAATTAGTATGGGTCTTTGAATACACAGCTGAAGACCAGCAATTCAGGTGAGACCCTGCACCCACCCATAAGCATAGGTTTTGGATGCAGAAAAGCACTGAACTCAGAATTAAACTTTATTGAGGATAATTACCTGATGATCTATAGAAACTAATTTGACCATTCTTGTCTTCAGTTTCCTAATCTGCAGACTAAGGAGACTGGCCTATGTGATATCCAAGAGTCTTTCAGTCCTAATAAGAATGCTGATATTTGAGTACATAGAGAGGGACTTCTTCCCACATGGGAACTGTGCCTTAACTCCTAATGAAAACCTTAAACCAATTCCATTTTCTCAATAGAGATAGCCTTTATTACAAAGCTGATACAATTGTTTTTAAACTTATCCCTGCATCATCTTTATTATCTTTTTTCTTTCAACTTTTGCAAAAACTTTGTTGAGAATTTCATACATGCATATAAGGTGTTTTGATCAAACCCATAAATCCATGCCCACTCCCTCCCCTCCAACACGCCTCCCTCTGAAGAGGTAAAAAATCTTTTAAGGATTAGATACAAGCTCCCAAATACTTTTGACATTTTTGGCCTTTGGAACACAGTATGTTGCTAACAGGCCCAAGGACACTTTGACTTTTAGCCAAGAAACTGGCTACTTTTATTTGGGATCTTTTTACCCTAACTGCCTAGCCAAGTCCTACCTCCTGTTCTTATCATGCCATCCTCTGAAGGGGTTACCTTCAACCAAATACCCAAACAAGATACTTCTTTTAATTAGAACTTAACAAACTGAATGTAAGTTGCATATATATGTAAATATGAATACACATAACCATATATACACATAACTACATGCATATGTATATTTATGTGCATATACAGATATATATCACCTAAATAGGAATTCATGCCAGATTATCTGTAATCATAGTTACATACTTTAAAGAATCACAACTGTTAGTTTAAATGTGGAAATCCTAAGGCAACTAAAATTTGATCATAAAGAGCTGACTTTTTTTCCATTGATATACACTGATCAAATTACATGAACTATTGATTACAATAAAGCGTTTTAGATACTTTAAAAATGTTAATATTCCTAACACCAGGCATGGTGGTACACTCCTTTAATCGCAGCACTTGGGAGGCAGAGGCAGGAAGATTTCTGTGAGAATGAGGCCAGCCTGGTCTACACAGTGAGTTCCAGGCCTGCTGTGGCTATAGGGAGACCCTGTCTTAAAAGACAAAAATATGCTCTTGTCATCCATATTAAAGCACAATGTGTCAAGTCAGGGTCCCCAGACATTCCCTTGTGCAAGTCCATCCACTGACATCTAAGCAGCCTCTCTAGAGTCTCTTGTTTTAGGAAGATCAAGAGTATATGGGTTCCAGTTGGGGGGCTGTGGGAGGGTGCTGGTGGGACAGGGGTATAAAGATGATTAAGATTCTTTGAGATATTATGTATAAAATACACAAAAATTAAAAAAAAACAAATTAAAAATAAAATAAAATGCATTTGTTCTGTTGAGTCAGAAAAAAGACAAAAATAAATAAAAATATTAGTATTTTAAAGTAAAGTGCTCTATTTTTATTACAAAACATTGGATGTGTATGTATACCAAGGATAGAATAACAGCATATTGAACTCAGAAATGAAGAACATAATAGGAAAACCTTATTGATTTCAGAGACTTAGTTGTCATTTCAACCTCTGATGTGAAAGGAAACGTTCGTTACGTGACAGCTCCCCTAGAGAACGCTGACATGGTAAAGGGTGAGGGTTGGATTCCTCATCAAACAATTGTCTGAACTCTAGCTTTCTAAGCAAAAGAGACTGGATGTAGAGTGGCAAGATTTAGGAAGCATTAGCTGACAAAACCGAGTCAAACTCAAGGAACTGAACAGCTACAGCATACTAGAATTAGTTCTGGCTCCAGCTACACTTTGTCCTTTGCTTGCTATTGCTGTCCAAAGCAATTACACTGCCGCACTGTGAACGGTACGGGCTCCTGTAGTTCAGCAGCTGTGTACATATATCTAACTGGTGCTTTGGAGCTCGCTGTATCAGGAAGGCAGACGGTGGAATACAATTACCCAAGTAAATATATGGAGATGTACATTGTAAGATTTGCGAACTGGAATGGGTGAAATGTGACCCATTCTGGAGGATCATAGCTGACTCCCTGGAGGAGAGGATGGTAAGTGTGGCTGAGTTAGCCACATCACGAGTCAAGCAAGGGATAGTGGTTCCATGATGGAATGGGTGTTCCTTGAATGAGCAGAAATCAAAGCAGTATATACAGTGTAGGCTAGGAAATGCAAACTGTTTGCTAAATTTTGAAGTCTACAAGGCAAAGCCAAGCAGTGAGAAATGAGCCTGGAGTGGTAAATGGAGGCCTGGTGAGCTAAGGTGAAGGAGTGATACTTTATACAATGAGCAGCCATCACAGGGCTTTCTATAGGAGTGTGGTAGAGCCGAATTTCTATTTTAGATCACTTTCTTGGCATTGTGAAGAATGGATATAAGGGGACAAACTAGAATTCAAGGTGACCAGTTAGGGACTATCACAGTAGTTGAGGCAAGAGAGGAAGAGAACTTGGAGCAGGGCAATGGAATGAGCACTGTAAAATGAGAAGGTTGTTGAGAAATTGAAGTAAAATCTGCAAGATCCAGTATTGGTAAGACACAGAGTATAAGGCATAGAAGAGTCAAGGTTAAAAAAGTCAAGGCGGGGCTGGACAGATGGTTCAATGGTCAAAAGCACTGGCTGCTCTTCCAGAGGACCCAAGTTCAGTGCCCAGCACCCAAATTGAGTGGCACACAACTGCCTGTAACTCCAGTCTCAGGGAAGCTGACACCCACTTCTGGTCTCTACAGGCACCCATACACATGTGGCATACACTCACACAAACACAAGTACATATAAATAAAGACAAAGTAAGACTCACCCCGTGTAGTACATGCCCTTAATCCCAGCACTTGAGAGGCAGAGGTGGGGTCTCTGTGAGATCGAGGCCAGCCTGGCCTAAATAATGAGTTCCAGATAAATTGGAGCTACAAGGAGACCTTATCTCAAAATAATAATAATAGTAATAATAATAATAATAATAGGAATTTTAAAAAAATAAAATAAAACTAAATACAGTGTCATGATAATCCCAGGTGTCTACTTAGTGAAATAATTCCATCACATAAAATATATTCATTAATATTTATTGGGACTGGAGAGATGGCTCAGTGGTTAAGAGCACTAGCTGCTTTTGAAGAGGACCTAGGTTCAGTTCCCAACACCCACATGGCAGCTAACAGCAGTCCAAACTCCAGTTCCAGGGGATCTGATGCCCTCTTCTGACCTCCATGACACTGCATGACATGGGTTCAATTACGTACATGCAGGCAATACACTCATACACATAAAATAAATATAGTAAATAAAATAGTAAATAAATATTTACTAAGAGTTATGCTTAAATTGGTTTAAAAAAGTAGGGGGTCATGATCTTCTCCCTCATGGAACTGAAGATCTAGGGAGGTTATGCAGACAACAAACACATAGTCTATGGCTATGAATAAAAATAATAAAACGTAAGGAGAAATATAAATTAAACTGAATTGATAAGAAATCTTTATCTAAGGCTGGAGAGATGGCTCAGCAGTTAAAAGCACTGGCTGCTCTTGCAAATGACCAGGGTTCAGTTTCCGGCACCTACATGGCAGCTAACAACCATCTGTAACTTCAATTCCAGGGGATCTGATGCTCTCTTCTGGCCTCTATGGGCATTGCATGCATGTGGTACACTTACATGCAAGCAAACACTCATATACATTAAAATAAAAGATAAGTAAAATCATGTATGAAATTTTCAAAAATTTCAATAAAAACTTAAAAAATGAAATAAGTATAAAAATTTTTAAATTAATTCTTTGCCCCCACATATCTGACAGAAAGGGATCTTGTATTTCATACTCACTTGACTAGGTTACTTGATATCTTACAGCTTCCATTTAAAAAGAATCTATAGAAAGCAATAAGCTTACAGTGGTATAGCAAAGGATCATTCTAAATTGCCATAACATATAGTAGGCTATTGGTGAGTTACATTTCCATTTCTGTGGCAGTGGTCATCATGGTTAATACATGGAATTGTTATTATTATTATTATTATTATTATTATCATTTTATTATTTTGTCTTTTTATAACAGGGTCTCCCCGTAACCCCAGCTGGCCTGGAACTCCCTATGTAGATCAGGCTGGCCTTGAACTCACAGAGATCCACTTGCCTTTGCCTCCCAAGTGCTGGGATTAAAGGCATCCACCACCACGCCTGGCTAATACATGGAATTATTAATGCTAGCCTATTTTCAAGCTATCAGCAAGGCTCTAGTTTAAGCAGCGATTGCCCAATAATGTGCTAATAAATAAAGCAATGAAATAAATGTTTAAAATCCCTACAAATATGTGGGCTGAGGGTGTGGTTCAGTGGTAGTAGAGTGTTTGCATAGCATACATGCAAGGCTTGAAATTTGATCCCTAGTACCACCAAGAAAGGAAGGGAGGGACAGAGGGAGGGACAGAGGGAGGGAGGCTCTATACATTCTAATAAAGTCTATAGATTTGGTGCTGGTGGAATAGTATCAGGGGTTATGTAGACACTTTTGCTTATACATAGATCAGATAAATTCCGAAAGACTAAAATCATTTGGAACTAGGCTGCTTTGTCAGTATTAATAGTTCAAGACACTTCGTGAGGCAAAAAGTAAAATATGATTTTGCATTGAAAAACAGAGTAGACTTTATCAGCATGTTCTTCACAGAGTTGAAAAGAAGTTGAGGTAACTATGGAATTTAAAATAGTTATCTTATGTTTTTCTTGGAGCAAATGGTTTTAGATTAACTGGGGTTCATTCATTTCTGATTTATTTAGTGAAATATTCAATAGAAATACCAGTCAGAATTTCTGGCCTCCAGAGCCTCATAGTTGTGCAATGGAGTAGATGCCAGGAAAGGTAGGCATGGACATAGAAGAGCCAGCTCACCCAGCTGGAAGAGTTCACTCAAGAGATATTTTCTGAGTTAAGATTTAAAATAGGAGACAATAATGGCCAAAGAGGCAAGCTGGGGTGGGAGGCAGGGACAGAGGAGATGGCCTATGGCATTTGGAGATATGTGAGAACTGTCAGATCAGAGAATTCTAGCAAATAAATGGTGAGTCACACTGGAATATGGGATGGGGAGGGAAAGGTCAGGAGTGAGATCATGAAGACCTCTACATTCATGCTGAACTAGTGTAGTGGGAAGGTGGTGAAATCTTGTGCTCACAGTGTCTTAGATAATAATCATGCAAGTATATAGCCCCTTGTGAGGATGCAATTCTGTGTCATAGAGCCATTATGTTCTTCGGTTCTTACTTTGGGTGCTTATCTTAACGGAAAGGAAACTCAAAGTTACTTCACTAGCAAAGTCTTAATGCAGTTGGGTTAAACATCATTCCTCGAGTCTATGTCCACGTAAAACCTCAGAAGGTGGGGCTGAAGAGACAGTCCGGCAATTAAGAGCACTTGCTGCTCTAGAAGAGAACCCAGATTCGGTTCCCAGCACCCACAGCTATCAACCATCAGTAACTCCAGTTCCAGGCGATCTAACACCCTTTTCTGGTCTCTACAGGCACTGCATGCACATAATGCACTTACATAGATGCAGGAAAAATACTCATACACATTAAAAAAAAAACACCTCAGACTATGACCTTATATGGAAATAGAATACGTAAATGCAGCCTGATTAGACGAAGTCATACTGAATTAGGATGGGCCTTGAATTGAACGACTGGTGTCCTTGTAAAAAGAACACATTAAGACTGAGATATCGTTTCTACAAACCAAGGAAAGGCAAGGACTGCAGGCAACCCTAGGAGGCACACAAGGGATTCGACTTGAAGCCCCCAGAAGGATCTCCCCACTCCAACACCTAGATTTGGGACTTCTGGCCTTGGACCTGTGAAGGGATGTGGTTCTGCTGTTTCCAGCTACCCAGATTGTGGGTGGGAAGTGAGTAAGGAAGCCAAATGATAAGGTTTCCTCGGGTATCTTCTGTTAAATGAGGCTTTATCCATTCCAAATATTTCAAAGCAGTCCTAATGGCTAGAAGGGTAGGTTTTAGAAACTTTCGTGGTAATTACACCACCTATAATGAAAAACAAGTCTACATAAAATAAATCTCAGCCGGGCGTGGTGGCGCATGCCTGTAGTCCCAGCACTTGGGAGGCAGAGGCAGGCAGATCTCTGTGAGTTCAAGGCCAGCCTGGTCTACATAGTGAGTTCCAGGACAGCTGGGACTACAGGGAGACCCTGCTTCAAAAAGACAAAAAAATAAAAAATAAAAAAACCTCAAGGTCTTAGGAAAGTATTTCTCTATACTACTACCCAATTTCTAAAGTATTTAATTTTTTGTTTAATTCCCGGTGGTAATAAATAGTCATTTTTGCAATTGTCTCTTTTTATTTCAGGTTATTTTGCCTACCTTGCCTTGAGGAACTTGATATTTCCTACAATGAAATTTATGTTATTCCAAACGAAATCCAGAAGCTCAGGTATTTTGGAAGCAGTAAATACTAGAGTAGAAAAGTCCTAGGTCCCTTAAGGGTATTTGGTGCTGAGAGTAGTGACAAAGAACATTGCGTCCTTCCATTCAAAATATAGTAGGTGAATCATGACGTGTATGAGAGCCACAATTTGTACAGCTGGTGTATAGTAAGCATAAGAAAAACTCCTAATGAACATTTAAAGGACAATGTGTTGACACTTTAATAGAATATCAAGTTCCTTTGGACCATTTTTTTGGTGTGGGTGTATATGGCTCATATATTTCATTCATTTTTAAATTTTTTATTTATTATTTTTATTTTATGCATGTATTTTATGTGTGTATGCATGTATTGCCTGCACATAGGTAAGTGCACCCGTGTCATGGGAGGTCAGAAGAGGCTGTCAGATTCCCTGGAACTGGAGTTACAGATGGCTGTTAGCTGCCATTTGGGTGCTTGGATTCGAACCCAGGTCTTCTGCAAGAACAGTCAGTGTTCTTAACCACTGAACCATCTCTCCATCCCCCTTCATTCATTTTTTTTAAATATGGAGAAACATGTATACAAACTGATCATAATGCACAATGTGATTTTAATGCTAATCTCAAATTCTTTCTCATATTTTTTAAAAGTCTGAAGTTTATCTGTGTCTTATTTTGATTATAGCTCTAGAATAATAACTAATAGGGCAGATGTTCTCAATAATTATCTCTTGACTATTTTTCTTTATCATAATAAGGGTTTTTTTGAGATAGGATCTCCATATAGTCCCAGCTAGCCTGGAACTTGCTATATATATAGATCATATATATAATACATATATTTTATATGAACCCCAGTCCCTCCCTCTTTCAACACACTCAAACACAAACTTGACAAATTAATTGAAAATCGTCTTGGGTTTATGCAAGATTTTGTTGACAATCATTGTTTTTTTATTCTAAAACAATTATGAGGGCTGAAGAGATGGCTTTGGAGGTAAGAGTGTCTGCTACTCTTCCAGAGGACCCAAGTTCAGGTCCCAGCACCCACATTAGGCAGCTTACAGCTGTCTAAAACTCCAGCTGCAGGAAATCTGATGCTCTTTTCTGGCCTCTGAGGGCCCTTCATGCACATGGCGTACACTATATAGACACACACACAAATTTTAAAAATAATAAAATCTAAAACATTATATGTACTCTTACTTTTTCAAATCTTATTTTATGCCCCTCATAAGAATTTATGACTCACTTCATAATTTTTCTAATAACATTTTCTAAATATTTTATAATTATGTTGTTATCCACAATATTTATCTTATTTCCAATATTAGCTTATTATTACAAATACAGAATAGAAAAAAGCTACATACTTCATTACACTGATTTAAAACTCAAGCTATGTAACCAAATTACATTATTAGTTCTGATTAGCCTATTGATTTCTTGGAACATAACCACATATTCAGCAAAGTGAAATAATTTTTTCCTCTGGTCTTCTAATGCTTATAACAAATGCTTAAAGTCTTGTGTGCCAATTTTTATATTTTTTTAAGTCTTTTTTTAAAATTTATTGATTTTTTTTGTGTATATCATACAGAACATCCCACACAATCTTATTCATCTATATACCCACTTCCCAAATGGCATCCTCCCATAGCTTCCCCCTCCCACATACTGGAGCCCATATACTCTGTCATCCCTGTTACTGTCCACTGTGTTGTCGGTACTCCCAGCCATTACC